TTCATGCCTGTAATCCTAGCACGCCTGTAATCCTAGCACTCTGGGAGGCCGAGGCAGGCGGATTGCTTGAGGTCAGGAGTTCAAAACCAGCCTGAGCAAGAGTGAGACCCCGTCTCTACTATAAATAGAAAGAAATTAATTGGCCAACTAAACATATATATGTATAAATTAGCTAGGCATGGTGGTGCCAGCTACTTGGGAGGCTGAGGCAGAAGGATCGCTTGAGCCCAGGAGTTTGAGATTGCTGTGAGCTAGGCTGACGCCATGGCACTATAGCACTGGCAACAAAAATGAGACTCTGTCTCAAAAAAAAAAAAAAAAAATTTGAACTTGAATTTTAGTCATCTGGGCAGTTATCAATTTGTTGCATGTTCAGTATGTCTCTTTAATCCTCTCTCCTTTGAAGTGCCCGCGATGTTTCCTCAGCAGAGAGCACAGGAAAGACACTATGGGGGGAGGAGGAAGTTTCTTGTCATTTCTGGCACAGGCGGGGCAGGGGGACTTTCAGCCATCGCCTCTCTGCAGCCCTCTTGGCGTGGGGACCACAGCCCTCGCAGCTGCCCACGGTTGCCTGCGGCCAGGCGTCACGCGTGGGGCAGACTGCGAGAACACTCCTTTAGAGAAGAGGAGACTGGCAGAGATCGCCAAGAGAGCAATTGCAGACAAGCAGGAGAAGCAGCCCAAGGACTGGCCTCTTGTTTAGAGATCAGGGAAGAGATTGCAGAGCCAGCAAAGAAACCAAGCAGGAGCTGACGCAAACCACGTGGGAGCAACCCAGCAGCCTGTGTCTTTGGTTTGGTTTGGTTTTTCCTTTTTAAAATTGTGGTAGATTTAGGGTGTACACGTTGAATTCGGTTGAATGTACACATCGTACAGAGGCTCTGGGCTTTTGGTGTATCCATCAACCCAGTAGCGTCCATTTGTGCCCCATAGGTGAGTTTCTATCCCTCGCCCCCTCTTTGAGTCTCCAAGTTCCATTATACCACTTTGTGTGCCCTGCGTCGGCGTAGTTTAGCTCCCATGTGGCATTTATTTTTCCATTCCTGGATTAGTTCACTTCGGATAATGGCCTCTAGTTCCATCCAAGTTGTTGCAAATGACATTATTTCATTCTCTCTTGTCACTGAGTAGCACTCCACACTACGTGTATATAAATATTAAAATTACCAGACATAGGGAACAGGCTTTACATTGCAAAAAGATATCCAGTTCCCATAGCGCAGCTGGGCAAGCTCTTATCTCCCTGGACCTTGGGTAGAAGAAAGCACAGGGCATCATGACACATGAAAAAGAACAGAGCACAGTAAAATGCAGTTGAGACCTTTAATCTTTGCTTAAGCAATTCAGCCAGAAAGTTCTGTAACTCACAATGTAGAAAATAATCCAGGCCAGGCACGGTGGCTCAGGCCTGTAATCCTAGCACTCTGGGAGGCCGAGGCAGGGGGGATCACTTGAGCTCAGGAGTTCGAGACCAGCCTGAGCAAGAGCCAGACCCTGTCTCTACTAAAAATAGAAAAATTAGCCGGGCATGGTGGCCTATAGTCCCAGCTACTCACTCTAGCCTGGGGCAAACAAAGGCAGACTCGTGTCTCAGAAGATCAAGAACAACGAATACTGGTTTATAAACAGTAGCGAAAGTGCAGAGACAGAGAAGGACCACCTACAGAACTGGATTTTATAAATCTTTCTTTTGAGAAGAAAAATAAAGACTTAGAAAATATGAGATTCCACTTTCCTCTTTGGTTAAGCTATCACATGGACCTTTTATTTATTCAGGAGAAGTTAACTAATAAATAGCTTTTGTCTGGAGTATTTTATTGTATTTTTATTTCTTATTATTTTATTTCATTTTATTTTTATTTTGTATTTATTTATTTTTATCTATTATGGTGTTTATTTTGGCCATATTTATGGGGGGTTACAGATTTTGTAAGGTTTTCAACTAAATGCAATCTTCCCCCCCTCCCCCAAAGTCTGAGTCGTCCATCATGACCGATCCCCCCAGGATGGTGCACATCGCTCACTCGTTGAGTATGTATATACCCGCCCCCCTCCCCCGCTCCCACCCTTCCCCAAGTACCCCTGTTATTACTGTGTACACCTGGTGTGTCCACTTTAGTTGTTCTACTCAGTTAGTTACCAGTTTGCTGGGACGCGAATATATTCTGGTGCTGTGTTTTTCCATTCTTGTGGGGAATACTTCCCTTAGTGGTATGGGGTTCCAGCTCTAACAGGAAACTATGTAGATGTGCTATATCACCGTTGTCTTCGTTAGAGCTGAATAGTACTCCGATGGTATACATCATACCACATTTTTTTAATCCATTCTTTGGACCCTTTGATGGGCACTTGGCTGGTTTCCAGCAGCCTTTGCAATTTATGAATTGCTGCTGGCCCTAGTAAAACATTCGAGTGCAGGTGTCTTTTTTGGAAGAGTGCTCACTGGATCATTTGGGTAGATGCCAGCAATGGATTGCTGGACAAAGTGGTATATTCACTTGTATCGCCTCTTAAGGCTATCTCCATATTGCTTTCCACAGAGTTGAACTAGTTTGCCAGTTCACCGAGCAGTGTAGGAGTGTTCTCTCTCTCACAACCACGCCAGCATTTGTGTTAGTGGAGGACTTTTGATTAAGCCCATTCTCAACTGGAGTTAAGTGAGATCTCATTGTAGTTTGATTTGCAATTCCCGATATAGGGACTGGTGAGCATTTTCATATTTTTGTTGCATTCTTCTTCTTCTCTTAAAAAGTTTCTGTTCATGTCTTTGCCACTTTTTGATAGGGCTTATTTGCCATTTTTCTGCTGATTCTTCGTGAGTTCTAAGTATATTCCTATTATCAGCCTTTATCGGATACATGAGATGCAAAAATTCCCCGTTTCTGCCATTCGTTAGTTTCTGTTTACTTTCATGACTGGTCTTGGCTGGTGCAGAAACTTTGTAGGTTCGATCATGTCCCATTTTTTATTTTTGTTGCGCTTTGATTGCCGTTTGGGGGATTTCGCCATAAACTCTTTGCTAGGCCGATGTCTAGTGAGAGTTGTTTCCAACATTTTCCTCTAGAATTAATGTGTCATACCTGAGCATTTTAAGTCTGTTCCAGCGTAGTTGATTTTGGTGAGAGTGAAAGGTGTGTTCCTGTTTTAAACCTTCTACAAGTGGCATCCAGTTTTCCGCACCATTTATTGAAAAGGATTCTTTTCTATTTTTATTTTTTGAGACGGAGTCTTGCTCTGTTGTCTGGGTTAGAGTGCCATGGTGTCAGCCTAGCTCATAGCAACCTCAAACTCTGGGCTCAAGCGATCCTGCTCTGCCTCAGCCTCCTGAGTAGCTGGGACTAAGGCATGGCCACCATGCCGCTAATTTTTTCTGTATGATATTAGTTGGCCATTAATTTCTTTTCTATTTATAGTGGAGAGGCGGTCTCGCTCTTGCTCAGCTGGTTTCGAGACTCCTGAACCTCAAGCAATCCGCCCTGCTTGGCTCGCAGAGTGCTAGGATTATAGGCGTGAGCCACGGCGCCCGACCTATAAACAGTATTTATGTATTCACAAACAATCCAGTACCAGATGCAGGATTCAGATACAGGCAACAGAAATCACTGTCACTATTTTATATAGAAACAGAAGAAAGGGATGTAAGATGGGAGATTAGGAGCCTACAAAATCTTTAAAGGGAATGGAAGAGTGAGCTCCAGGCTGGGCATTTAGGAAGGACTCCCAGAAAACACCACCACTGAACTAAGAGCTGCTACCCCTGCCCCAGGCAGCTGGATGCCATGAAGCATGAGAAGGGTCAGCTTGTCCCCCCAGAACAAACCAGCCAAGAGTGAACTCATTGCTCTTCTGGATCCAATCGATGATCTAAAGACTGTCACAGACCTCTGGATTTCAGTAAGCTACCTGACAACCTCTCACAACATTCTCGAAGCTAAATGATTGTAGAGAATATCTTAAATAAATTCACAGACAACACATTCAAGAGTGAGGTCTTGGCCGAGCACAGTGGCTCACGCCTGTAGTCCTAACACTTTGGGAGGCCAAGGCTGGAGGATCTCTTGAGCTCAGGAGTTTTGAGGCTGCAGTGAGCTACAATGATGCCACTGCACTCTAACCTGGGCAACACAGCTAGACCCTGCCTCAAACAACAACAACAAAAGAACAATGTCTTCAAGGTCTACAGCTGTGCTCTTGGTAAGTTGGAGGACTCGGTAAAAGCACATTTTTAAAACTCCTAGAGCTACACTATGAAGGCATGAGGGCTCCAACATCTGCTGCACAAGCACACCTCAAGGACTCCCAACCAAGGTTTTGGTTTTTCTAGGAACATAAATGAGCCAACAGTGCAGAAATCGGCTATTAAATACAAACCTCGAACGTTTTGGGGCAGCAGTGATTACAAGTAGAATGCACATTGGGAAAATGATAGCCCAAACGTATTTCTTCTAAGACTCATTCCACAAGAGACTGTAATCGAAGTATTCTGGGCTGGCACATCACACCAGGGGCATTATATTGTATTTTCGAAAAAACATTTTGCCTTGGCAACGAAGGCGTGCCCAGAGGAGCCATCCAGATAGCTGGGGATCTGCAAACAGGTGTCCCAAGGCTAGACTAGAAAAGTTGGGCAGCAAAGCGATTAGTTTACCGGATATGCCAACCAAAGCAAACACAGGGTGTAAATACCGGGTGGAAAAGAGTCTGACAACACACAACAAAGACAAACACACACACGTTCTCTTCCACTGGTCAGTTTGTCCAGGAGGCCCGGGCCAGGGTCCACCTCTTCTAGCACGTCCTAGGAGAGCATGCGCGGGGAGGTGGGGGCAGGGGACTCCGGACTTTTGCTTGAGACCAGGGCTGGGGGCGGAGGGAGCAGAGGCGGGGCCTGAGCGGGCAGGAAGCAGGGGGCGTGTCCGGGGCGTGTCCGGGGCAGGGCAGGGGCAGGGCGGCGGCGGTTCCTGGGCGTGGCCGGGGCGTGGCCGGGCTGGAGCGGGCAGGCCGCAGTCCCTGGCCCCCGCCATCACTGGGCTCTGCGAGCACTCGGTGCCGGGGCGGGAGGCGGGTCCCAGGCTGCCATGGCGCTGCGTGTGGCCGTGTTCGACCTCGACGGGGTGCTGGCGCTGCCCGGGGTCTACGGCGCCCTCGGCCGCAGCGAGGAGGCCCTGGCGCTGCCCAGGTAAGGGGCCCCGGCGCCGCGCCGCTCCGTGCGCGCTGAGGCGGGATCCCTGTCCCGAAGTGGCCTTTCTGGACGTGGGCCCTGGTTTCAGATGGCTTGGGGCGAGAGCCCTGCCTGCCTGCCTACCATTAAAATAATTACCTGGCCCTGAAATGCCAGTGTATGTTGTTACAGCCTTTGTCTTTCTCGATGTTCGGCAATTAAACTTGTCAAGGACTCCAAAATTGCCCTCTGTGTTGAACTTTTCCAAAAGTGAGAGGAATTAGTCTCTGAGCTATCTGCTGTCTGAGTAGTTCTACCCAAGGCAATGGGTCTTAAAGAGGTGCACTGAGATTTAGGAGAAAGTTCTGTCCAAAATGTGGGTTGCAGTTTTACTTAATAAAATAGTGAGCTACAGAAACAGCCCAAAGCCCAATCACTGGGAAATGGGAAAGCATCCACCAATAAGTGTGGCGTTCAGGTTGAGATTTCAGTGACACCAGAAAATATCTCTCATCGTACACACACAAAAAAACCCCAAACCCACCAGAATGTAAAACCATGTATGCAATATGGTTTCAACTATGGAAAAAAGCGACATGTAGAAAAGTGTCTGGAAGAAATATACCAAAATATCCCTGGATTATTAATTCCAGGTGGGATTATGAATGATTTTCTCTATTTTTCTACTTTTTTTGTATTTTCCAACTTCTAAACATATATTTGCAAACATATATTACTCCTACAGTCAGAGGGGAGAGAAGCATATTTATTTAAAAAGTTAAAAAAAGAAAGAAAGGTGGGCCAGGCGCTGTGGTTCCCATCTGTAATCACAGCACTTTGGGAAACTGAGGCCTGTGGTGGGAAGATGTCTTGAGGCCAGGACTTCCAGATCAGCCTGGACAACATAGTGAAACCACATCTCTACATTTTTTTTTTTTTTTAAATAGCCAAGCATGGTGGTACATGCGTTTAGTCCTAGCTACTAGGAAGGCTGAGGCAGGAGGATCACTTGAGCCCAGGATTTTGAGGTTACAGTGAGCTATATCATGGTGCTACTGCACTCCAACCTGAGCAACAGAGTGAGACCCTGTCTCTAAAAAAAGAAAAAAGAAAAGGGAAGTCATTCTGGCAACACCCAAGATAAAGGAGGAAGAGCACATTCTAAAGTACTGGCAAGATTAAAGAGCAGAGTGGAAGCTTCACATTCTGAGGGTTCTGCCCCATCTAAGGAATTCTAGAATGCTAATGACACCAAGGCCAACAGGTGTATATATAGTATATTATATAAATATATCTAAGTATATATAGTATACTATATAAATTAGAAAAAGCTAGCATCTGCAAACATGCCAGACCAAAAGGGGACTCAGCATCCCCACTTTACAGACGTGTGGACTGAGGCTTAGGGAGGGAATTAAAAATTTGTTGCAGATTATACAGGAGTTAACCACAGGTGGCTCTGGAGTCTAGGAGTCTTTCCTTTCTGGTTAATTATGACTTTCCACCTTCCTGGCTAGTTCTGGGAAAGATCTCAACCTCTGTCCAGGGTGAATTATCTGATGTTGTTCTAAATTGCCTCCTCCCTTTGTGACCTGGTTGGGATTTCTCCCAGTTGCCATAAAACAGGGCACAGCAAAGCTGGCTGACCTCAGGAGGTCAGAGCACATGACCTTGACCTTATTAGCCTGTCAGGTTTGTGAACCAACCTTGAAGGTATTAATTCAGAAGGTGAAGATGAGGGCCCTACCTTGCAATGGGCATTTTCAACATGTTTCCTGTCTGGAATGAAAACCCAGGTGTTCGCAAGGGGCCAGGGTTCAGGATGAAGGCAGTGCCATAAGAGGGGTGAAATTCTAGGGTGGCCGAAGGAAGGGGTGGAAAGGTCTAAGCAGGAAGATCAGGAAGCCTTCATGGAGGAAGACTGATAGGAGGTTGCTAGGGCGAACTTTCCAGGTGAGGGGAACGTCGTGTGCAAAGGCTGGGGAGGTGGCAAGCATGGAGTGTGCACGAGAGCACTGAATATTCCAGGCGGTGGGGGAGGGAGGTGGAGAAGGGGGTTGGCCTGCATCATGGTCCAGCGTGAAAGCTGGTGCATGAGTGAGAACCTACTTCAGTGGCCAGTGGGGAGTCCTTGAGGGTTTTTGAGTCAGGATGGAGAGGGAGTAATAAAAATAGTTGGAGCTCTGAGTCAAGGTAGCCAATGGTTGGAGTGATGGATCAAAGAAATTGATCATTTGAGTCAAGAGGCTCAGGCTCACAGTGAGATGAGAGTTCGGGAGATTGGAGGTAGAATGGAATGGAGGTTGGCCCTGGGGAGAACAAGACCTTTCTGAGCAGGGAGTTTGTGGGTTGTTGGCATGGAGACGAGCAAACAATCTAGGCTGCGGGGTCCAACTGAGGACCAAAGGAAGCATGTGAGGGTAGCGCTGAGGCTTCCGGGCAGGGGGCTGGTGAGGGTCCTGAGCGGCTATAAATCCTACCTGAGGACGGGGTGCTGGTGGCCCTGGGCTGCCATGAACTCCAGCAGTAAGAGACTGCAGAGTGACAGGGGTGCAGGTTCTTCCAGTGTCACCCAGAGGAGGGAGGAAAAGGGAGGCACCACCTGTGTTTGTGTCTGTCCGGACAGACCTGTGTCCTTAGAGGGTTAGGATGCTGGCAGTGGTGGTTGCCTTGGCAACCAAGGCTGATGGGATCGGGAGGAACCAGGAAGGTGCCCCAACAGCCAGATCTGACTGGTAGGTGGTTGTGTGAGCTTCATTCCATACCTCCTCGCACCACGTCACTGCGGTGGTCTGTGGCGCACAGCAAGATGGAACAGTAGGCATGATCAAAGCATCCAATTTCTTTTGAAAATGTGTAATATAGAACCTGAGGTGGCCACCACTTGCAATCCCCAGTACATGGTTTTTTTGTTTGTTTGTTTGTTTGTTTGTGACAGAGTCTCGCTTTGTTGCCCAGGCTAGAGTGAGTGCCATGGCATCAGCCTAGCTCACAGCAACCTCAAACTCCTGGGCTCAAGCAATCCTCCTGCCTCAGCCTCCCGAGTAGCTGGGACTACAGGCATGCGCCACCCTGCCCGGCTACTTTTTTCTATATATATTAGTTGGCCAATTAATTTCTTTCTATTTATAGTAGAGACAGGGTCTTGCTCTTGCTCAAGCTGGTTTCGAACTCCTGACCTCGAGCAATCCTCCCGCCTCAGCCTCCCAGAGAGCTAGGATTACAGGCGTGAGCCACCGTGCCCGGCTCCCAGTACATGTTTATTGAGGAAAAGAAAAAAGTTATCAGCTAGTACCATTATGAGGAAGTTGAAAGAGCATTTGACAGACAGGACTTCTTATTGTATATCCTGTGTACTGTTTCAGTAAATATTTATTGAATGGCTCCTTCCAAGTCCTGCAGTTGCTTTTCACACCCCTGAGCTTTAATGCACTCCCTGAAGATTTCATCTTTTCTTTTCCTTTTTTTTTTTTAATTTTACAAATGGGTTTTAGGCTGGGGGCAGTGGCTCACACCTGTGATCCTAGCACTCTAAGAGGCCGAGGCGGGAGGATTGCTTGTGTTCAGTGGTCTGAGACCAGCCTGAGCAAGAAGTAAGTTGATAAAATAATTACATGTTGCAATGAGTGCTTTAAAGAAAACACTTTTGCCGGGCATGGTGGCGCATGCCTGTAGACCCAGCTACTCAGGAGGCTGAGGCAGGAGGATTGCTTGAGCCCAGGAGTTTGAGGTTGCTGTGAGCTAGGCTGACGCCACGGCACTCAACCCTGGGCGACAGAGTGAGACTCTGTCTCAAAAAAATGAAGTAAATAAATAAATAAAGTCGCAGAACAGAACACTGGTATCCGTCTGAATTGGTTTTCTTTTGTGCATAATCTGTTTTTCTACTAGGTTGTTTGTTGCACTTTTTTTATCCTAGGAATTGAAACGTTTCTCCAACATATGCCTGCGTGGTTTGTGTGTGTGTGTGTGTTTCTTTCTTTCTTTTTTTTTCATTGATTTTGCCTGGTACTTGGTTACTTGATGGGCGCTTTTGTTCTTAGAACTCGCTAGGCGGTTCTAGAGAAATTTTCCCCATGAGTCCTGGGACTACTACTTCTCTGATCTGACCTGGATTCTTATTGTTTATTTATTGAAAAAATTTACCTTCCCACAGGAGAAAGGACAAAAAAACACACACACAACTTGTTATCTGAGGAAAGTGAGAGTCCCTTTAAATTATCAGGTGGGCAGAGAAGCATTTAAAAGGTGACAGCAGTCACATCTCATTTCCCTCTTGAGCTAAATAATTACCTCCTGCAGCCACTGGCTATGCAGGCTCCAGACTACCAGACTCCAAGTGGCCATTAAATGCCACACACTGGACCCCATAACTCACGCCTTTCAGTGCACCAGTGGATAGCCGGCCACTCGTCAATGCCGTCTCTGCACCAGCGAGAATTCCTGTCGGACAGCTTTGTCTCGGCGCACCCCTTGCTCCCTTCTGCCTCGAGGAATCTGCCTGTGTGCGAAAGGCCGCACTGAGCCCTCCCCAAGGCAACTTGGAGCGTGTCCCTGGCTGCCGTCCCCAACTTTGGCCCAAATAAAACGTCAATATTAATCTTGCCTCAGCTGCTTCTTTTAGGTCCACAAAACAGATCTCATCTTTGGGCTCATAATTTTTTTTTTTTTTTTTTTTTTTTTTTTTTTTTTTTTTTTTTTTTTTTTTTGAGACAGAGTCTCACTTTGTTGCCCAGGCTAGAGTGAGTGCCGTGGCGTCAGCCTAGCTCACAGCAACCTCAATCTCCGGGGCTCAGTGATCCTTCTGCCTCAGCCTCCCTAGTAGCTGGGACTACAGGCATGCGCCACCATGCCCGGCTCATTTTTTGTATATATGTTTTTAGTTGGTCAATTAATTTATTTCTATTTTTGGTAGAGACGGGGTCTCGCTCAGGCTGGTTTCGAACTCCTGACCTTGAGCAATCCGCCCGCCTCAGCCTCCCAAAGTGCTAGGATTACAGGCGTGAGCCACCACGCCCGGCAGGGCTCATAATTTTAATTGCTCTCCCATTTCACTCTGGCCAGGTTTCTGCCAGGTGGTTTCCTAAGAGCTGCTTCTCCTCTGAGTGTATTTGTCATTTAGTTTGCGGTCACGTATCCTCAGCTGGGCGGCTCCTGGCGGGCGAAGAGCCCAACCTGAACTGCGCTGGCGTTTCCCAGTCCCTGGCAGCCTGGCTTTCTAGGGGCAGTTCTCGGGGAATACAAAGTGTCTGTCGCAACGTGCTGCCATGATGAAGCCATTGGAATGTCCAGGATGTTGTCACTTGCTGTCTTCCAGAGGCTTTCTGAATGAAGCTTTCCATAAAGGAGGCCCGGACGGCTCCTCTGCCCGCCTCATGAGAGGAGAGATCACGTTTTCCCAGGTGAGGGGTGACCGCACAGACGCCCTTGGGTAGGCGTTCTCTGCCTACACGCTCATCTTCCGCGCTCACCGGAAGCTCACTGAGCGCGGGGCCACATCTTTACCCAAGGACCCCTGGCAGCACGTGACTCACAGGGCTGATCTGGAAGGACTGGGGACGTAAAAACAGGCATTTAAGACTGGTTTGCAGGGCTGGGCACCGTGGCTCACGCCTGTAATCCTAGCACTCTGGGAGGCCGAGGCGGGTGGATCACTCAAGGTTAGGAGTTCGAAACCAGCCTGAGCAAGAGCGAGACCCCTGTCTCTACTAAAAATAGAAACTAATTGGCCAACTAAAAATATATAGGAAAAATTAGCTGGGCATGGTGGCGCATGCCTGTAGACCCAGCTACTCAGGAGGCTGAGGCAGGAGGATTGCTTGAGCCCAGGAGTTTGAGGTTGCTGTGATCGAGGCTGACACCATGGCACTCTAACCTGGGCCACAGAGTGAGACTCTGTCTCAAAAAAAAAAAAAAGACTGGTTTGCAGTTTTGGGGCCAAGCAGAGGGAAACTTCCAAGCCCTCAAAGTTGTACACCACGAAGTGACCACAGCCAGAGCGACTATTTTAGGTCAGGGCCACCAGATCTATTAATTCAGTAACCATCTAATGGGTGGACAGGTTTTGAATCAGAGCTCCCACTTACAGGCTGTGTGACCACAGCAAGTTACTTAACTATTTTAAATCTCAGTTTTGCCATCTGTAAAATGGGGTTGATAATGCAACCCATTTCGTCGGTTGTTGTGAAGCATAGAAAGTGCTTAGCATAGCGCCTGGCGTGTAGTAAGTGCTCAAAAAATAGTGATTATTATTGTTAGTATAACCTCAGTGGTTTTTAACAAAGTAACCAGGATCTAGCCACCACTTGAATTCTCAACTAGTGCCTCCCTAAGAAGAAAGGCCATTGGGAATATACTTAGAAGTATACAGATAAAACATTCTAATATATATAAATGTTTTTAATGTTGTGAATTACAGCCACCTGTCACTCTGTCAGAAAACTTGGGACCCACCATGATAGCAAACACCCACTATTTCTACACAGGCGAATGTAGTATTAATGAGAGTATTGTGGTCACTTTAAAACACACACACACACACACACACACACACACACACACACACACACGGCAAATGGTGAGTGAAAACTGTGATGAGGCTGGGTGTGGTGGCTCACGCCTGTAATCCCAGCACTCTGGGAGGCCAAGGTGGGAGGACCGCTTGAGGACAGGAGTTCAAGACCAGCTAGAGCAGAATGAGACCTTGTCTCCAATAGAAAAAGTTAGCCGGGCATGGTGGCGCATGCCTGTAGTCCCAGCTACTTGGGAGGCTGAGGCAGGAGGATCGCTTGAGCCCAGGAGTTGGAGGTTGCTGTGAGCTAGGCTGATGCCACGGCACTCAAGCTTGGGCAACAGAGTGAGACTCTGTCTCAAAAAAAAAAAGAAACCAAAAAAACCACAAAAGAGATTCCAGAGAGCTAGCTAGCCCCTTCCACCAGGTGAGGACAGCGAGAAGGACCGTCTCTAAACCAAGAAGTGGGTTCTTACCAGACACCGAATCTGCAGGTGCCTTGATCTTGGACTTCCCAGAGAGGCAGCCTGGTTTAGCTGATGTGTGAGCCCATGCTGAATGGGGAGAAATAAATTTCTGTCGTTTATGAGCTATGCAGCCTCTGATATTTTGTTATAGCAGCCCAGACAGACTAAGACAGGGTCTTACGAATAGTACAATCACAGTGTGTAAAATCTACCACAGTCTGTCCATGCTGCTGTGAGTGGGCATTGGGGTAGTTTCCTGTTTGGGACTCTTAGGAATAGTGCAGCCACGGACATTTTTGTCCGTGTGTTTTGGGGAACATCTGGTGATATTTCCAGTGGGTATGTGTTCGGGAGAAGAATTGCTTGGTTACAGGGGATGCATATGTTCGGATTTAGTAAAAACTGCCAGAGCTTTTCTGTGAGGTTGTACCAATCGTATCATCGATTCATTTTGACAGTGGGCGCCGCTCATGGAAGAAAACTGCAAGAAACACTGTGAGGCCTCCGGAATCCGCCTCCCCGAGGATTTCTCTATAAGTCAAATCATTGGCCAGGGGATTTCAGCAAGGAAGATCAACCGGCCCATGCTCCAGGAGGCTGTCGCTCTCAGAAAGAAGGGTAAGGGTCTGATACGGGCCATTCTCTGGCCCAACCACACAGAATCCAACTATGTGTGTTTTGAGATCATAGATCAGGCGTCCTCAAACTATGGCCCGTGCGCCACATGCTGGCCGCCTAGCACATTTATCCGGCCCTCCAGGTGTTTTTGCCGCTGCTGCCTGTCCTGCTTAGCAGCCGACTCATCCCGGGCCCACAGTGCGCACTCCCCAACGGTCTGAGGGACAGTGAACTGGCCCCTGTTTAAAAAAGTTTGAGGACCCCTGGCATAAATCTTCTGGGCCTCCATGGAAAACTGTTCTTAAAACATGGCGCCAAAGCAAGCTTTATCAAATGGCAAAACCCAGTACTATTATTTATAGAACAGCTGGGAAGGTGAGAGAATTTTATCTAATGGAGCGATTTGTGCCAGTGACTATCTTGCGAGCAACATTCTCTCTTTCCGTGGCACTAGCGATGCCCTGACCTTCTGTCACAGTGATCAAAAACAACGCCTTTTAAGCAATTGTGATTTTTCTCAGCCTCTGGGTGTCAGAGTGGCTGGGCTATGAGCTGGCTGACATCGGGGACGTCGGCTCAGGTGATGTCACCTGGTTTAAGACACCGTTTTCCCACAGGCATTTATGTAGTGCCAGTGCACTGACACTTGGTAGGCACCCTGGAAACCATCCCATTCCCCATGTGAGCAGACCTACCGTGTGACCAAGCCCCCCACGTCCATAATCCTCCCTCGAGTTACGTGGGAAGAGTTTCGCCATCAACCCACCCGGGTCTGGTTTCCAGCTCCGCCTGGTTCTCCCCCTTGCTGGGCAGGCAGGTAAAGCGGGGGATAATGCTGTCTCCGTGTATGTTTCTCCAGTTTTGAGATGACAGCCCAGTCCCCGATAGCCAAGGCAGATGTCATGAAATGTAAGTGAGCAGAGTTTGCGACAGCATAGGCTGGGAGGGACACGGGACCTTCACCGTGAGCGTCTGGGCAGCTCGTAACCTGTCTGAGCCTTGTTTGCTCATCTGTGACTATGGGATAGCGAGGTCAGTCCTGTCCTCTGCAAGGTGCCGAGTATCAAAGGAGCTGGCAATGTCCAAACACTGCTCTACAGCCGGAAGGAGGAAGGGGTGGTAGTGTCCCCATCTGGGCTTCCGAGAGCCCTTAGTGCCCCCTCATCTGTGTCAGGAGGTGCTTACGGGCAAAGATGATTATTCCCCCCTTGTCACATGAAAGCTGGGCGAAAGGAGGTTGGCGTAAGTGAGCAGGACCCCGCTCAGTCCCATTATCGGGGGTCCCCCGTGGGGGGCTGGGCGCATCCCAAGGCAAAGCTCTGGTCCCTTCACTGGCGACTTTCTGCGCAGGATTCACCACCTGCATCCTCACCAACAACTGGCTGGACGACCGAGCCGAGCGAGGCGGCCTGGCCCGAATGATGTGTGAGCTGAGGCCGCACTTCGACTTCCTGATAGAGTCCTGTCAGGTCGGCGTGGCCAAGCCTGACCCCCAGATCTACAAGCTTGCCCTGGACACCCTGAAGGCCAGCCCCAGTGAGGTACATAGATGCTTCCTTCCAGGGCAGAGGAATGTTCTAGAGATGTTGCAACCAAAGAAAACTTGAGGAGCGAACATATGGGGTACATCTGAGGGGCCTGGCAACAATAAATTCTCCCATGCTTTCTTCTGTAACTCCCAGGGTCTGTCTGTCTGTCTGTCTTTTTATTCTTCCTTTCTTCCTTTTGAAATGTAAATCTTTGATCCATTCAGAATCTATTTTGGGGCAAGATATAATACAAGGATCCAATTTTTCCCCCCAAACAATTAACTAGTTACACCAATGCCATTTAATAATCTTCCTCACTAACTGGACATCTTTGGCATCTTCCTTAGAAACAAATTCTCATTTGTATTTGAGTCTATTTTGAGACTCTCTCCTAGTTTATAGGTATGTCTGTTTCTTTTCTAGGACTAAACTCTTCTACCTTTGTAGCTTCATAATCTGTTTTTTTGTCTGCACTCATTAGAGTTCTTTTCCAGACCTTTTTTTTTTTTTTTGTCTATTCACACCTGTTGATTTTCCCAGATGAATTGTAAGTGTCATCTTGACAAGTGTTTATCGTCTCCTAATCTTGCAGATTCAGAGTTGGCTGAAACCAATAGGTATATGGGGGCATATTAATCTTTGCTTTTATGTGTATGCTTATGTAATTAAATGTTTTCGGTTTTAAGAGTAAATAGTTACTCTTGAAAGAAAAAGAATTTTTCATCTCTTTATTATAAAATTATCCCTGTTTGCGATTTAATGTGTTTCTTTCTGGTGTTCTCCCCCTTGCTGTCTTGGGTTCAGGTTGTTTTCTTAGACGACATGGGGGCTAACCTGAAGCCGGCCCGGGACTTGGGAATGGTCACCATCCTCGTCCGCGACACTGACTCGGCCCTGCGAGAACTGGAGAAAGTAACTGGGACGCAGGTAACTTGACCTCTGAGTGGCTCAGGCTTCCTGCCACCCGGCTGTCGTGTGCACACGCAGCAGAGAAAACCGAGAGTGGAGAAGCCAGGTTGGTGGAGCTCACTGCTGTGTGCATGACCCCAGGTGCCCTCTGCATGGGGTCTGTCACCTACCAGGCACTTTGGCACAGTGTCCTTGAAGAACATCTTGTTTTTTTCTCTGCAGTCCATGCACAGGGAGACAGGTGCTCTGAGAGCAAGCATTTGGACTAGTCTTGGTACCAGAGTCTGGGGGACCAAGACAATGGTGGGACATTCAAAGACTCTGACCTTGTTTTTCAGAGTAAATATTGGAAGTTTTTCTCTAAGGAGCATAGCCCCTGCCTGGGCTGCCCGAGCCTGCTGCTGGCACTCTGAGCGACCCTGTCGCTCCACCCAGCACACGGCCTCTCGGCAGTCAGAGGGAAGCCTCTTAAGAGGAGGATGGGGCCGAGCCAGGTGGCTCACGCCTGTAATCCTAGCAGTCTGGGAGGCCAAGGCGCAATCACTCTGGTCATGAGTTCAAAACCAGCCTGAGTAAGAGTGAGACCCCATCTCTACTAAAAATAGAAAGAAATTAATTGGCCAATTAAAAATATATAGAAAAAATTAGCTGGGCATGATGGCACATACCTGTAATCCCAGCTACTTGGGAGGCTGAGGCAGGAGGATTGCTTGGGCCCAGTAGTTGGAGGTTGCTGTGAGCTAGGCTGACGCCACGGCACTCACTCTAGCCCAGGCAACAACAAAAAAAAAAAAAAAAAAAAAAAAAAAAAAAAAAAAAAAAAAGAAGAGGATGGAACACCCTTCATGACGTCCTGAGGCTGGTGGGGTTTCACCTGCCCCCCCAGGTCTGAGGCACCTTGTACTTTTGGGGTGACCTAAGATTGACAACCTCGCTGAGTCCACAGTCTTCTGCGCAGCTCAGCGCCTGGGTCCCGTCGGCACAGGGAGGGGGGCAGGAGGCGGGGGTGCTCGGCTAAGCCACGGCTGCACTGCCATTGCCTCAGGGGGACCCGTGTTGGTTTGCTTTCATTGCCAGAACAAAGTGCCACAGACACGTGGCTTTAACCACAGATGTTTATTTTCTCACAGTCCTGGAGGCTGGAAGTCCCAGATCTCTCTCTCCTTGGCTTGTGGGTGTCCATCTTCTCCCTGTGTCCTCATGTGATCTGTCCCCTTGCCTGTCTCTGTCCTAGTTTCCTCCTCTTCCAAGGACACCGGTCAGGCTGGGTAGGGGTGCTCCCTTGTCACCTCATTTGACCTGAATCATCTCGATAAAGGCCCCATCTCCAAATACAGCCCCATTCTGATTCCATCATTTACTTCCCCATTTTAGAGGTCAGATAACTGAGTCACTGAGGACAGCCAGTTCTTTCTCAAGTGACACCTCAGGACGACAGATGACAAATCCAGCAGTAGAATTCACAGCATGTCCGGCACCAGGGTTCAGGCAAAATGAAACAGCCACTTCCCTGTGCCTGGGATCTCGTTCCTTGTCAATGTCGCCTCGGGAAACCGATTCCAGTAAGTGACAGAAGCGGAGGACGACACTCACAGCCACGTCCACAGCAGCTTTGCTCACGCAGAGGAAAGGCGGAAGCATCCCACGTGCCCGTGGGTAGACGAGCGGATAAGCCACGAGTGGTGGGTCCACGAGGGGGGATGGCACCCTGCGGGCAGAAGACAGTTACCGGCCCGAGTGTGCGCTCCCGAAATTCACACACCGGAGCCCTAAGCCCAGGCCGTCAGAATGTGACTGTATTTGAATAAAGGGCCTAGAAGGGGATGATTAAGTTAAAATGAGGTCGCGAGGGTGGGTCTGAGTGGTGTCCTTAGGAGAAGAGGAGGTCAGGACACAGACGCGCGCAGAGGGACGGCCGTGTGAGGACGCAGGGAGGAGACAAGTGCCCACGACCAAGGGGCGAGGCCCCGGGAGAGCCAGCCTGCCGACACTTGACCTTGGACTTCCATCCTCCAGAACTGGGAGGAAACGAACGTTTGTGGTAGAAGCTGTGCGGTCCATGGCATGTTGTCACGGCGGCCTGGGCAGACTCGCACAGAGGCACAGGGAGTCTGATTTTGGCTGACTCGAAGGAGAAACCTTTATTTCAACAGAGGTGGGCAGAGTGGAACGGCAGCCGAGGGACTGCTGCAGGGATGTCTGTGCGTTAGCGTCCGGACTCTCGGACACGCGGAGCAAGTGGTCTTGCTTCTTGCTTATAGAAGGTTGGGTTGGCGGTGGCCGGGGCCCTCCGCTTCAAGCCGTCATCCGGGAACCAGGCTTATGACGGAGCCACCGTCTCCTAATGTGGTTTGTGAGGCCCCACTAGACACCAGCTGGAAGCCGGGAAAACAATGTGGACACTCGCTGGGGCGGGGTGTTCGCGGCCAGGCGGGAGGCTGCACCCTCCGTCCGCTTTCGTCGGCCAGAACTCGGTAGCAGGGACGCCACAGGAGGGAAGGAAGCGGGGCTGTGCCCGTGGAGGGGAGGTGGGCTGGCCCTCGCCGTAGGCTCAGCAGGGATGGTGAAGAGAAGCGATCTCCAAGGTCCCTCCCGGTGCCAGTCCCCTGGCGCGTTGGAGACTCACCGTGAGAGCGTCTCTCGGGAGGAGGCTGGGCTGTGCCCTCACTGTCTCTTCCCCACTCGCAGCTTCTCAGCACTGTGGCCCCTCCGCCTGCCCCCTGCAACCCAAGTGACGTGAGCCACGGGTACGTCGAGGTGAAGGTGAGTAGGCTTTCGCTCTCAGGTGGCCGTGTGCTCTCCAACCGGGTCACCTACAGTGACCAGCAGAGACGTTTGTTAAATATCAAGGGTAGTTGAACATCCACTATTTAGAAGGAAATAGTACTGCCCACAGTCTCATTCCTCAAAAATCGGTAGAAGACGTGGACCTCACATCGGATTATGAGGAGCCGTGTGGTCGATGTGGCCAAATCCCCACCAGACTTCAGGCCGGGGGTGCTGGGTAGCCCAGTGCAGGTGCACGTCTGGCCTGTGTCCCGGGAAGAAGGTGTTTTCATGTGACAGGTACTTCCTGAGCACTTCCTCTGAGTCAGGCAGAGGCCAGACACAGGGAGCCGTGATGAACAAGGCAGACCCACCTTCAAGGAACCCACATTGAGGATAAAGAGGGGAAAAGGCCATTAAATGCCTGGTGGTCAGGGCTATGGCAGGCCAAGGCCAAGGCCACCTGCAGAGGGCCCCAGCTCCTGACCTGGCTGGGAGAGCTCACCTGGCCTGCTGGGGCAGAGCTTTGCAGCATCCTCATGGGGTCACTCTGGCATCTTCCTTCATTTGTCATTGGCCCCATTTAAATGGGAATAGAGCTACAGCTATGGCTCAGCTCGTGAGCAGACAAGGACAGTGGCTCTGGAGCCAGAGACACCCAGTGTGGCTCCTGGCGTTGCCACTTAACTGCCATCACAGCCTTGGGCAAGCGTGCTGTCCCTGTGCTTCTCAGTACCCGCACCTCTGGGAGGAGATGATGGTGACACCTGCCCACGCGGTTCTGATAAGGATTAAGTGATGAAGTGCGACCCTGCATGTAGACCGGGGGGCACGGCACCCAACACCTGCGTCTCCACAAATAGTAGCTGAGGAACAGGAGGGCTGGTGGCCTTGGAGGCGTGCTGCCCCGGGTCACGACCTCTCAGATACTCACTGAGCGTTGGCGCTGTGCCCGGCCCAGAGAGAAGTGCCGAGGAGCACGCAGTGCCTTCACGACCCCAGGGATTTCGCAGTGCAAAGAGACGATGATCACAGCCCTGTGGCTGCAGCGCAGGACGGGTTTCCTGCTAAGTGGCTGTGCCCGGAAGTGCTAGAGTTGGGGGGGAGGCAGCCCAATAAATGCAAAGCGGGCATCTAAGGATGGGCGGGATTGGGATCATAAGAAAGGGGGACTGAAAGCTACTGGTCGGCGTCACTGCGGTCCCTCCTAAAGGGGCAAATATTTAGTGAAGTCCCTTCAGATCTCTTCTCTCTGGTAGTGAGGGGCATTTTGCATAGGGCTGGGGGCTGGGGAGTGACCTGTCATCTTCACCACCACAGACAGGGTTATTCTCAAAATCCTCTTGAGGCTTGTGTGTCCAGCCAGTTTCAAGAGATTCCTCATCTGACCTTGCAGGATGTGATCAGAGCTGCATTAGGCATCTTCACGCCCGTCCCACATTTTACAAGCCGGGGCAGTGAAACTGAGGGGTGTTCCAGCTGAGCCAGGCTCTGGGGTGCTGGTGCATTGATCTCCACTGCGTCCTAATGCAGCCGGAACTGGGTTGATAATAGATCTCTCTTGTGTCCTGGCTTTACGGCCATTTTTTTTTTTAACATGTAAAAAAGAGAGGGTGGCAAAGCACACGCGCTTGCCGAGCTATGCAGCGAGCTGCTTGGTCTCCATTCGTGCTAGAACAGATGTGGGCACGTTCTTCAGTGCGAGGAGGGCAGAATTTACAGTTAACTTTTGCCGAGTGCTAACGGAAGACTACGGAACAAATGCTGATAAACAAAGACTGTAGTGCGTGAGAGGGCTTGCACAACGCCCACCTGATGTTTTCTTGACCAAAACAGCTTGTTGCAAATCTTGAAAGAAACTTCCAGCATGAGGCATGGCTAGGAGTCGCCTGAGATACGGCCAAGTGGGATTGTTCCAGGTGAATTTCTGTAAAGCGACTCTGGTCATCCCCACGCACTTCCCCGGGAATGCTGAGCCCCAGCCTTCTCCGCCACACCCAGAGCCCTCCCTCCGAAAGGACTGCAGGTGTAGCAAAGCTTGAACACTTTTCACACTTAAGAAGTAAACAGCTTTTAACAGAATACTCATTGTATTCTGCACATTACCACGAATATTATGCTTTGCACAAAATCAGCCTCCGGTTTAAAATCTTGAAAACACAGAGCAGAGCAGCACCCGAAACTGACAGCACGACGGCGTTGCAGAGAGGAAGGCAGAGTTGTTTTTGGTTTTGTTGTTTTCCAACACCATAATCTTCTCTTCGGGCTTCTTAGGTGACAATGAGAGCCGCCTGTTTTTATTGTACAGTTTGGCCAGTGTCTCTTCTCGGCCATCTTCATCTAACATCGATCGGGGTCTTTAGCTGAGAAAGCTGGGTCATGCGAGATCCCCCTCCCCTCTCTCCTGCGCAGCCCGGGGTCCGTCTGCATTTTGTGGAGCTGGGCTCCGGCCCTGCCGTGTGCCTCTGCCATGGATTTCCTGAGAGCTGGTTCTCTTGGAGGTACCAGGTAAGGAAAACCAGGGAAGGTGCACCCTAGTCGGGGACAGGTGGGAGGGGAGTCTACATGGTGTGGCCCAGCCTGGAATGTCATGAAGAAGCTGAAACCTGCCACTGAAGCATTATTGTTTCCAAAGCATGACCACGATGCCTCAGAAATGTTGGCTCCAGATCTCAGGGCTGTGCTGGGTCTTGAGGTACCTTCCTTCACACATTTGAACAAGGGCAGACTTCTTCAAGACACTGTACGCCACCTGCTGGGAAGTCTTTGTAGTGAACATAGGTGTCTGCAAGGGCTTTGCTAGAAAGGTGCTCTTAGGTGTGCCATTTAAGCAGTGCACAAACCCTGCCACCATCCATGGCAGCCTTATCCAGGTGGGCTCGTCCCAGCTCCATGGGAAGGTACCAGGTAGTTCCCTGTGGGACTTTGGTTTGAGCCATTTACAGGAGCAGAGGGAAAGAGGGAAGCAAAGAGGGAGTGTTCGCCCAAGACTGATGAGACCACGCTGGAGTGTGCCTGAACTGTTTGTCTTCTAGATCCCTGCTCTGGCCCAGGCGGGTTACCGGGTTCTAGCCGTGGACATGAAAGGCTACGGAGAGTCGTCCGCTCCTCCCGGTGGGTTAGCTGTCCCGCAGCTGTCCCGTGTTGGTCAAGCCTCTCACTGTCTGAGCTGTCCGCCCCACCGTGCTTCCCCTGGTCCCAGCTTAGAGCGGGCAGCCCTTTAAGGAGGCCTGACCTCACCCCTCCCCTGTCCTGCAGTGACCTGTGTGTGTGCACTTTGGGTTTCAGATGTCCCTACCCCCATACTCTGAATACAAGAACCCCAAAGGCCTGTCCCCGAGGCAGTCTCCTGCTAGCCATGGGGAAGTAGGACATAGGATGCACCATCCGCCCCCAGGACTTGCATCTTGCAGCACTGAAAGTCTGTGCTCATTAAATATCAATAACTCCCCAGTCCTCCCTCCCACCAACCCCCTTCTCCCTATGACTCTGACTCCTATAGACGCCTCATGTCAGTGGATTGCAGTGGATTGCAGAATTTCCTTCCTCTCTGAGGCTGAGTACTATGTTATTGTCTGTTTATCCAACGGACACGTGGGTCGCCTCTACCTGTGGCTGTTGTGAACAGTGCCGCCGTGAACTTGGGTGTGCAGACACCTGTCAGTGTCCCGGCGTCAGTTCTGCCCAGAAGTAGAATTGCTGGGTCACGTGGTCGTTCACAGGCCAGATTCTCAGCCCAGCACTTGTGGATCCCAATGGGGTCTATCCTGGGTGGGCACCAGATGGCCTGTGGCCCCCTGGGACAACGTGTGGGTTTATGAGCATTTTCCTAGCAAGGAGAGTCCTTTGCTTTTATCAGTTTCAGGGGCTTCTGAGCCCAAAATTGTTAAGAAGCTCAGATGTGCAGGCAGGAATTTTAAGGCAGCCCGCTGTGGCAGAGTCCCTGGGCCCCCAGGTGCCAGTGACGCAGTTGGCAGCTGCTCACCCCTTTTCTGAGCTGCTTCCCCCACAGTCAAACCCCACACATCTGGCTGTGCGGTTTGAAGCCAGCGGACCTGGGCTGGGGCTCTTGGTCACTCAGGTGACCGGCCACCTGCTAGGCCGCTTGACATGTCATGCCGGGAAGGGCCTTATGTGGTCATTTCCTAACTGTCGTGGTGCACCCATCAACTCAGCCGCTGCTATGGCCTCTCGAATGATGCAGAAGCATTTTAGACAAAGAAAAGCCTTCATTTAAACACCCAGAAAGTCAGCTAAGGGCTTCTGTCTTTTTTTTCTTAATTTAATTACTGAGATGTTTAATTTTTATTCACATATACTACTGTCTTCTCTGAATTCTCTAGGCATAACTTAGTAACATAATTTAATATTCAAACTGGAACACTATTAAAAGCTGTTATAAGACACTGTAAAGAACACATACAAACTGGAACTATTCTAGGCAATATGAGACTTATAGTCTTACACTAATTATAACATTTTTTAAAGAAAAACATAATTTAGGCATTAACTATTGCTGAAAGGTCATATATAAAATGAATTTTAATGCCAGGCATGATTATTTAGAATACATATTTACATTTCAGATCACTTGTGTATACGTTTCATATCATTTGACAATAGATTCTAGGTTGCAAATCATTTGCCCTTAAAATTTTGAAGGCTTTGGCCTACTCTGACCCACTGTTGGGAAGTCTCAGGCCACTTTGATCTAGGAGGTTTCTGTGTGAGCTCTGGGGCTTTTGACACTTTGGGGATCTTTTCCTTATCTGTTGTGTTCTGAAATTATATGATATTGTGCACTGACGTGGGTCTTTTTTTTCCATCCACATTGCTAGGTACATTTATCTTGCAGTTATTGGAACTTTTCTTGAGTTATTTCTTTAATAGCTTTTTCTTTTGTTTTCTCTGTGTTTCACTTGTTCTTTCTTTTTCCTTTTGATTTCCAGAAATGCTATTATTGTTAAAACGTCCATACTACTCTTACAACTCAAAGCTATCTACAGATGTCATGCAATCCCTGTGAAAATCCCAGTGGACTTTTTAAAGAAAAAGAAAAAGCAATTCTTTTTTTTTGAGACAGAGTCCACTTGGTTGCCCAGGCTAGAGTGAGTGCCGTGGCGTCAGCCTAGCTCACAGCAACCTCCAACTCCTGGGCTCAAGCAATCCTCCTGCCCAGCCTCCTGAGTAGCTAGACATAGGCATGTGCCCCATGCCAACTAATTTTTTCTATATTATGTTAGTTGGCCAATTAATTTCTTATATTATAGTAGAGATGGGTCTCACTCTTGCTCAGACTGGTTTCGAACTCCTGACACTTGAGTAATCCTCCCGCCTCGGCCTCCCAAGGAGGATTACAGGTGTGAGCCACCGCGCCCGGCCATAAACAATTCTTCAACATATGGAAGCACTCAGAATGGATTAAAGACTTAAATATAATAATAATATTATATTATAAACAATATTCAATAATATAATTATAATATAATCATATATATATATCACAATAAAAATATTAAATATAATATCTGAAATTATAAAACTACTGGAAGAAAGCAACGGAAAAGCTTGGCATTGCTTTGGCAATGATTTCACAGATATGACACCACACATGCAAACAACACAAGTAAAAAAACAGGAGGGACAACCTCAGTCTAACGGTTAATAAGATTTTGTGGGTTTTGTTTTTTTGGCAAAAAGAACCCTTTTATTTTTTGGTATATTTTAAATCATGTAAATTAAATATACCTTTATTTTTAATTGCAGACATAGAAGAATATTGCATGGAAGTGGTGTCAGGTAAGAAGAATCTTGGCAACGTCTGTAACGTCTTTTCCTTCTGGGTCTCATCAACGTAAGCCAGAAGCTCAGGTGTCCGTCCAAACCCTGGGAGCCTTCATTGTCGTAGCATTTGGGCTGTAGATTTTTTACTAGAAATCGAATGATATTTGAAATGATACCCAACACATGTTGAAGCATCGACTATGTGTCAAATCCTGCTCCAAGCAATTGGCAGAGAGGAAACTGAGTCACAGGGAGGTTAAAAGTAATTGCCTGAGTGACAGAGCCAGATTTGAACTCCTGCGACTCTGTACTCAAATTGCCTCTCCATTCTGAGGACTTTTTAAAGAAACACTTTATTTCGTAAAAGCTGCTGTTGGCCAGATCTGGGAGTTAGTGGTGTGGCTGCGACAAGGATGCAGGTCCCTATGCTGAACCGGTGTGGGGTGCGCCAGGGGAGGGGACCCTCGAAATCTGGATCCGAGAGAGACTCTTAGTTGGGTCACTTAAAGCACTGCTCTCGTGGAGAAATCCTTTTACCAGAAACAGGAGGAAGCGGCCTGCTCCCTTCCCCCCTTCTGCCCGGCGAGAATCATCAGTGCATGCCCGGCGAGGGCCGCCCAAGAGAACGGGCGCCTCTGTCCACGGAAGCACAGATGTAATATTCGCAGCAGCATTATCCACAGTGGCTGAGGAAGGGACAAGGACGTGGTCCTGTCCGAGTGGCCGGCGGAGGCGGGGGCGTGAACGGGCCCCAGGACATCGGATGCGCGGTGAAAAGAGCCAGCGCCTGTGTCAGGACGAGGGGCAGCAGCACATTGTCCTGGGTGTGACAGTGTCCCCATAGCAACGCCTGGGCCAACACGGGCGAGCCCAGCAGGGCACTTGTTCCCCTCCCACCCAGGTAAGAGGCCAGGTCACCGTCAAGCGGATGTGGCCCGGCTAGCACGCGTGCTGACATACACGGAACAACGCACATGCGTGTTTGGAGTCTGCCTCCTTGCTGAGACGTCTGGACAGCGGCGGGACGGACCCTGCAGGCTGCTGACGAGGGAGCCTGCGAGCCACGCTTGGGCCACAGACTGGGCAGCAATCGAGAGCATGATGTTTGCTTCTCACAGATCTGGAGCTAGAAGCCCAAGTGAAAGGTGCAGCTGGGGGTTTCCTCCTGCGGCCTCTCTCCTTGCTTGCAACAGACTCCTTCGCCTGGCCCGCGCTCACGTGGCCTCTTCTCTGTGCATGTCTTTCTGATCTCTTCTTACAAGACAATAGCATGATGCATTAGGGCCCGCCTAGGACCTCATTTAATCCTAACAGCTCTCTAAGGACCCTGTCTTCAAACAGTTGGCATCCTGAGGTACGGGTTAGGTTTCAACATAGGATTGTGGGGAACACAGGTCACGCCATCAAAAGGCAAGCGAGGCCCGCGCCGGTAGCCACGCGCGTAGTATCGCGAGCGAGCCGAGGACTGAGGTGGAAGGATGCCAAGGGTTAGGAGTTGAGACCAGCCGAGCAGAGCGAACCCGTCTCTACTAAAAAGAAAGATAGCACAGTCATAGCATTGTTAAGGAAAAAAAATAAATAAAAAAATAAAAAATAAAAAGAAAAAATATTGGCAACTAGAAATATATAGAAAAAAAATCCACATGCCTGTAGTCCAGCCTACCGGGAGGCGAGGCAGGAGGATGCTTAGAGCCCTTCCAAAGGGGAAGTTTTGAGATGCTGTGAGCTAGCTGATGCCACGGCACTCTAACCGGGCAACAGAGTGAGACCTGTCTCAAAAAAAAAAAAAGGCTAAAGCGATTGTGACAACTTCGTTTGCCATGTGTGTTTTCTTCCCTAGGAATGGTAACCTTCCTGGAAAGCTGGTAAGTAAATTGTTGAGCTGATCTCTTTGGAGAGAGTATGTTTGGCCTGGGCCTGGGCGATTGAGAAAGAGGCTAAGGCTTTGAGGGTGTCTTCGGCCCCGTGCCTGGCCGGATGGACAGGCAGCAGGTGCACTTGGAACAAGGGGTTTGGAGGACAGTGGTGAGACGAGCTTGTTCTGCTTGCTTTGAAGAGCGATTGCAGGGCAAGGGTGGAGACACGTTTCTCTTCGACCCAGGAGATTGGCAAGGGATGCCGCCGGGGCTCAGTGCACACCGTGAGTTTGTGCTAGGGGGGGACGTTAGATGTATCAGAATTTCCCTGTTGTAACGACATGTGACCTGTAGACACCAGTAAGGGGAGCTGATGTGTCAATGTGTAGTACAGCAGACGAGAGGAAAGTGCAAGGCAGAGAGAGAGTATTAAAGAAAATTTTGAATGATTAATGGTTAATTAAGGAGGGGCCGCCCCAAAAGTGAGGGAGGAGATGGGTAGAATTCACAATCATTCAAATGACAGAGTTACATGGACACATGGGAGATCATTAACTTCTTTTAAGACAGAAAAGAGAGGCTGCGAGGTGGCTCACGCCGTAACCTAGCCTCTGGGAGGCCTAGGCAGAGGATCGCCAAGGTCAGGAGTTCGAAACCAGCTGAGCAAGAGTGCAAACCCCATGTCTACTAAAAATAGAGATAAATGAATTGGACAACTAAAAATATAGAAAAACTTAGCCAGACATGGTGGTGCATGCCTGCAGTCCCAGCTACTTGAGAGGCTGAGGCAGGAGGAGGATCACTTGGGCCCAGGAGTTTGAGGTTGCTGTGAGCTAGGCTGATGCCACAGCACTCTAGCCCAGGCAACAGATTGAGAAAAAAAAAAAAAAAAAAAAAGATAGAAGGGAGGAAAGGGTGACACAAGACTGGATTTGTGGGACGGTAGAGAGGGAGGAGGAATCCCCGGTCGGCTCAGAACGAAAGGGCCGAGCACTGGTCGAGGGTCTGGCTGGTGGGGGCGGGTGTGGAGGGTGGATGTTGGACATTCGAGCACAGCTGCGGTGGGTCGGGGAGGAGGCCCTCGCTTCGAGGGAATGGGGCATTCGAGCGCAGCTGCGGTGGGTCGGGAAGGAGGCCCTCTCTTTGAGGGAATGGCGGAGGGCTTTGGGCTCTCGGCCTCTCACTCCCGAAACCCACCCACGTTCGGTCCCCTTCGTTCTCCTTCTCGTCCAGGGCCTCTCTCAAGCCGTGTTCATCGGCCACGACTGGGGAGGCATGCTGGTGTGGAGCATGGCTCTCTTCTTCCCCGAGAGAGTGAGGTAATCAGGCCGAGCGGCAGGCATTTGGGGGGCACTGGGCTCGCGTTCCCATGAGAGTTGTTCCTCCGATCTTTAACCCCAGCAAACTTCCGGAAAACAAGTAGATGATGCAGGAAGGTGACGATACCTTAGCTCTTTAGTGCCCACTGACACAGAAGCAGGGAGCCCTGATGAGCTAAAGTCTGAGGAAGCAGCCTCCGTCCCAGTTACAGGCAGTGGACAAGTCACTTGGGCCCGGGTGGCCCGTGGGAACACGGACGAGCCATGGCTGACCTTGCGGGGTGCGGGTGAGGCAGCTGGGGAGTCGGGTTTGTAGAGTTGAGTGCCAAGAAGGACTTCAGCCCTGGACTGGGTGTCGGAAAATGTGGCCTTCAATTCTGCCCTGCCCTGGCTATGTGACAAGTCTCTTAACTGCTTAGGCCAAGGCGTCCTCAGGCACAGAGTGGCGGCGGTGACTCCCGCCCCACTGGTGTGTGCGGCCACGCTCCGTCTGGACTGGCGGACTGCGGCTAAAACCCGCCTGACCTGCCTCTCGCGTCAGCCGGGGTCTCGGCAAGTCAGACAAACACCATCCTCAGGGCCGGCCGTGTCTCCCTAACTAATCCAGTTGCTTGTGTTTGCTAAGTTTACAAGATCAGAACCGTCGGGGAACTTTGCGCAGCTTCACCCCCGGCTCACATGGTAGGATTATATCAAAGGCCGAAAAGAATCGAATCTCCCCGCCCTTAAAATCCAGCTCAAATGCTCTCTTGTCCACAAGATCTTCCATGATGCCCAAAGCCAGAAATTCCTTTGAACTCCCTCGGCTACTCTATGGCTCTTATGACAGTCTGTCCCATGATGTAGTCGTGTGTGTATTTTTCTATTCTTCCTTATTAGATTATAATAAGCTCCTTGGGGAGAGAAATTCTATCTATTTTATATTCTCTCTCCCCTAGAATATAGCACAGAATTACACTCAACCCAGAGGAGACATAGTGAGTGAATAAAGGGAGGGAAAAAATAAATGCATTTCTAAAAACTAGGGAGAGATCGGGTGTCCCCATATTCTAATCAGGTTGATATAGTGCACATGGCATGTGTGTAGGTGCCTAAGGCAAGTAGGTGAGAAGTATTGCAGTTGAGTGGGAATAAAGCACTGACTATGAATCAAACAGTCTGAGTTCGGATCCCCGCTCTCCCACACTCTGCCCGTGTGAGACCTCGGACTCATATCCCTGCCGAGTTTCAGTTTGGACATGCACAGTCCCTTCTGGTTCTCGAAGCCTGTCTTCTCACAGCGTCCCTGTCTTGGCGCTTGTTTGCCCAGGGCAGTGGCCAGTCTGAATACTCCCTTCATGCCGGCAAATCCCAGCGTGCACCCCTTGGAGAGTATCAAAGCCAACCCCATGTTCGACTACCAGCTCTACTTCCAAGAACCGGTGAGTGTGGGCCGTTGGGGCTGCAATGTTTGTCTTCCCCCTCCCTCCCTCGCTCCCTCCTTCCTGTCTGCGAATCTCTGGCCCCTGTAATCTTCTGTGGCATTCATTGGACAGAAATGATTTTCCAAATGGGCTCGGGCGAAACTGGCTGCAGCATTTGGCTAGTGCTTTAGGTGGAGGCACATTTGTGTGTGTGCATGTGCGTGCATGCATGTGTGCGCATGTGCGTGTGTGTATGTGTGTGTGCATGCGTGTGTGCGTGTGTGCATGTGTGTATGTATGTTGTGTGCATGCACGTGCATGCGTGTGTGTGCTCTCGTGTGTGTGTGTGCGCGCGTGTGTGTGTGTGTGTTGGGGGTGGAAAGGAGGAAGGTGCGGGGTTGGTGCACCAAGTTCTCCTGCTTCTCTAAAATTGTGTAACATAACTCAGGGCTCATTAAGAGCTGCCCCCTTCCAGTTCTCTGGCTGAGAGGCTGGTGACACCCACCTCTCTTGGTGACAGCTCTGGGCCTGTCCGTGGGGACCTGGTGTCTCTGCTCACTGGGAAGTGGGCTTTGTGGTTGCAGCACCCGGAGCCTAAGAGTCCTGCAGCAGGCAGGCCCCAACTGCGCTTTGCAGAGCGTGAGCGAGGCTTTGGTGTCAACCCGCGTGGCACGAGATGCGCCCGGACGGTGGGCGGTACGTGTGTTGGGGTGTCTGTGCCGCCGCTGGCTGGGGTTCGCCGAGAGCAGTGTCAGGAGTGAATGTCATCTGGCCTGTGCCCCCCAGCTGCCTTCTTCTGTGGGGGGCGCCTGATACTCAGCTGTTTGCAAGCTCTGGACCCCAAAGTCCAGCTACGCCTGGATAATTTCAGAGAAGATGTTTCCTCCACACTCCAAAGAGAGAAGAAGAAACGGGTTTAATTAACAAGGAGGACCTGAGAGGTCTCCCCAATCCCTCTGGTCCCCTTAGGAGGCCCCACTGCTGGTGAGGACCGTCCCCGTTTCCATCCAGCGAGTGACTCTGCTCTCATGACGGTTTTCGTTGATAACTGGCGCCTGCGTGCTGCAGGCAGCAACCTCATCCGGGAAGACACCCAAATCCCCACAGCCTTTTGAAAAGATGCTCCATGCATCACGCCCCAAATCCCACAGCAGGGCCGGGCCTGGTGTGCGGGAAGCTCTGAGCTGCCTCTGGCTCGAATGGAATCAAATGTCCGAGCTCCCGTTGAGGTGGTCCGAATCGTCAGGGATGGATAAGATGCAGATGTGCGTCACTTTGCTGGGGCTGCCACAACACAGGCTGGGCGGCTTCAGCAACAGAAAGTCATTCTCGCACAGGTCTGGGGGCGGGAAGCCAAGGTCAGGGTGGCAGCAGGGCTGGTTTCTCCTGAGGCTTCTCTCCTTGGCTTGTAGATGGCATCTTCTCCCTCTGTCCTCACGTAGTCGTCCCCCTGTGCGTGCCTGTGTCCTAATGTCTTCTTACAAGGACACTAGTCATATTGGATTAGGGCCTCTTAATCCACCCACCCCATCCTACGCATCTTCCCTGCTCCAGCTCCGGTGCTCTCTCCCGTGATAAGAAGTGACTTTGTGGCCGGGTCTGGTGGCTCACACCTATAATCCTAGCACTCTGGGAGGCGGGAGGATCGCTCAAGGTCAGGAGTTCAAAACCAGCCTGAGCAAGAGCCAGACCCAGCCTGAGCAAGAGCCAGACCCCGTCTCTACTAAAAATAGAAAGAAATTAATTGGCCAACTCAAAAAATATATAGAAAAAATTAGCCGGGCATGGTGGCACATGCCTGTAGTCCCAGCTACTCGGGAGGCTAAGGCAGGAGGATCACTTGAGCCCAGGAGTTGGAGGTTGCTGTGAGCTAGGCTGAGCCCCCGGCACTCTAGCCTGGGCAACAGAGTGAGACTGTCTCAAAAAAAAAAAAACCTTTGTTTCTTTGTGGACAGCCAGAGCCAGGTGTCCTTCCTGCTGTCGGATTCTCCCCTTGTCTGCTCCCTCCCCATCTCCCCCAAGAATTCTTTAGGCCCTTGGGGGTCACTCATCTCCACATACCCTGGAGAAACTGGCATGGGACAAAAGATGTGTAAGTATCAGCTAGATGAATTAACAAATGCTAACTCTTCATGAGAAACAGTCAAAACATTTCTGACGCTGAAACATATTTGTAATGGTCAACCCCTCACCCACATTGGGAGCCTCTCTGCTTTGCAACAGATAAGAGTCTTAGGAATTGATTGAAAATGATGAGAAAGAGCAAAAGGAAAAAAGAGGGGGAAGAGAAAGTACCCACAGGCGTCCCTCAAATTTATACCCCACATCTAGAGTAATTAGCAATGGCACTTGGCTCACTGAAGTATTTTTTTCTTTACTTTTCAAAAATTGTAAAATACACATAAAATTTCCCATCTTAACCGTTCTTCAGCAGCATTAAGTACATCCATGTCGTTGTGCAACCATTGATCTGGGGAACTTTTTCATCTCCCCAAGCTGAAGCTCTGTCCACATTAAACACTAACTCCTCATCTCACTCTTCCCAGCCCCTGGCAGCCCCCACTTTCTCTCTCTATGAATTTGGCTACCCCAGGGACCTTGTATAAGTGCAGTCATACAGTATTTGTCTTTTTGCAACTGGTTTATTTCACTTGGCATAATGTCTTCAAGGTTCATCCATGTTATAGCATGTATCAGAATTTCCTTCTTTTTAAAGGCCGAATCATGTCCCATGGTATGCATATGACACATTTAATTTATCCATTCACCTGTTGATCGACACTTGGGTTGTAACTACTGCTTTTTTTTTTTTTTTTTCGCGCCGGTGGCTCACCACCTGTAATCCTAGCACTCTGGGAGGCCGAGGCGGGAGGATTACTCAATGTCAGGAGTTCGAAACCAGTCTGAGCAAGAGTGAGACCCCATCTCTACTATAAATAGAAAGAAATTAATTGGCCAACTAACATATATAGAAAAAATTAGTTGGGCATGGTGGCACATGCCTATAGTCCTAGCTACTCAGGAGGCTGAGGCAGGAGGATTGCTTGAGCCCAGGAGTTGGAGGTTGCTGTGAGCTAGGCTGACGCCACGGCACTCACTCTAGCCTGGGCAACAAAGTGAGACTCTGTCTCAAAAAAAAAGAATTGCTTTTTCTTTTTCTTTAAAAAGTCCACTGGGGTTTTCACAGGGATTGCATGACATCTGTAGATAGCTTTGAGTTGTAAGAGTAGTATGGACGTTTTAACAATAATAGCATTTCTGGAAATCAAAAGGAAAAAGAAAGAACAAGTGAAACACAGAGAAAACAAAAGAAAAAGCTATTAAAGAATAACTCAAGAAAAGTTCCAATAACTGCAAGATAAATGTACTAGCAATGGTGGCATGGAAAAAAAAGACCCACGTCAGTGCACAATATCATATAACTTCAGAACACAACAGATAAGGAAAGATCCCCAAGTGTCAAAAGCCCCAGAGGCTCACACCAGAAACCTCCTAGATCAAAGTGGCGCTGCTGAGACTCTTTACTCCGTAACAGTGGGTCGAGTAGGCAAGCCCTTCAAATTT